GTGTCACTGGACGGGCGCGCAGTCCGGCCGATTCATTTGATCAACGTCTGCGTTAATGTGACCGGACGCCGGAAAATCAAGTGACCGACGCCGAAAAAGCGTCGTCCGGTCGACTCTAATAAGGTTCGAGTGAAGGAATCTGCGACCGACGCCAGCGTCCGGTCGGTGATTGACCGGACCACGAGGGTTCGGCGTCCGTCGAGTCCAGAAAGGTTCGATAAAGGGTTTTATGCGACCGAACGCGTCCGGTCGATCTTGACCGGACCGCCAAAGTCCGGTCAATACATTTTTACTGGTTCACGGGTTGAATGGCCCGGAGCATCCAGTCAACACGATCGGGCGTCCGGTCACCCCATGAAAGCTCATAATGATTCGTTTTTTCAGTTTGCCTTATAAATAAGCTCCACTGTGTGTGGAGTGACTTTTGCTCATTCAAACAAATTGAGAAACATGTTTGTGAGTGCCAAGAAGAGCAAGGTCTAGTGAGGTGTTTGTGATTTGAGAATCCAAGAGTGAAACCTCATTAGTGAATCAAGAGTAGACAAGTGTGCATCCATCTTCTCATTAGGCTTCGCATGGTCAAGTGAGAGTTCGTGCTTGTTACTCTTGGTGATCGCCATCACCTAGACGGCTTGGTGGTGATTGGGAGCTTGGAGTTCACCCGGTGGAGCTTGTGGGTGACCCAACTCAAGTTGTGAGCGGCTTTGGGTGATTCGCCGCGACGGAGTGTCGAAGAATCAACCCGTAGAGAGCACTTGATCCTTGCGTGGATCAAGAGGGAGCTACACCCTTGCGCGGGTGCTCCAACGAGGACTAGTGGGGAGTGGCGACTCTCCGATACCTCGGCAAAATATCGCCACGTTCCTCTCTCCATTTACCTTGAGCATTTACTTTAAGTATTTACTTTGCGCAATTCAATACTTGTCTTTACATTCATAGAATTGCCATGCTAGAGTAAGTTTGGAACATAGGTTGCAAGTCTTTTGTGCGTTAATTTGATAGAAACACTTTTCTAGGCACAAGGGGTTAATTGGGCTATCCGTAGGATTAGATTATTGCAAGAAAATTTAGAATTAGCCCAATTCACCCCCCCTCTTGGGCATCTTAATCCTTTCAAGTTGAATAAAATAAAGAGGACTCAGAATAATCTCTTAAATGGAAATGATGGATAGTTACTCTGTTGTAATTCCTTTCAAGTACCTAGTTTTTAGCCTTGAATTCTCCCGAGTTTTGGATACAACTGATTTGATATAAAGATTTACTCTAAACTTGAAACTCATGGGTAGCGAATGCTTGATCTAAGTCTAGGTAATTGACGGATATGATATGAGAAGGTCTGAGCTGCTGTTTATCTTGTTCCAAATGACACTAAAGTTCTGGAGATTTATCTTTTGAAAAACACAAAAATGCTACATGATGAGTTCTTGTATGATAAAGCTTGAATTTCCACCAGAGCCATACATGTTATTTAGGCTAGGAAAACCTCCACATATATGTTGCTTGCTTTTGCATTGAGTTTTGTCGAGCTTTGTTGACCCTTATAAGAGGTTTGTCATGCTTTTAAAATCAAGATCACGTACACACCACAGATACCTGCTGCTCCTACACTGGGAGTATGCAAAACATGTCTTCCATCTAGATCCACCAAAAAATGTTTTACTCCTACACTGGGAGTGAATACAAAAACATATTTGATAGGTTTTTCATCCCCTCAAAATAAATGCTCTAAAGTTCTTGTTGATATCTCTCTCAAAGTTTTGTTGTAGAAAAGAGACATGGGCTATGCAAAAGTTATTCATTAAAAAGAGAAAAAAGAGATGAAAAAATGGACAAGTGTTCGAGATATTTAAAACAATGGGTACTTAGATGCCCGTCTGAAAAAAAGAGAAAAGAAAGAAAGATGAATAAGATAGCTCCTGCTCTCTAGCAAATGTTTCAAGTTTCAAAGGAGAGATATGTTTTCAAGGAGCATAGTAAAATTAGGTTAGCCATCATATATATCCACCATATATCCACACACATGCACATATTGATTTGATTGTATGACTCAACTCTCTTTGAATCCATTGTTTGACTTTACAATATATGCATTGCAAGTTTGCTCTAGCTTTCTCCCTACCTATGAACTCCACATAAGCTTTAGTTGTCGAAAGAGAAAAAAGGCATAACATCTTTACTGCAGTTGGTGATGATCCACAAATACCACATATATTGAGAGACTTGAGAGTGTCATACAATGGAATCTCTGAGTTTTATTTTGAAAACTTATAAAAACTTCAGAACAATGGTGGAACAAAGAACTTGAGACATAGTGCTTGACTTGATCGTTCTGTTTTTTAATTGCTCAAGACCCAAGTAAAGGTTAAGAAGCCCCATGGTTGAAGGTAATGTGGGTAAGTTTGAAAGTCAGATCAGTTTATTCTAATTCGAAGGAGAATTTTTTATTGAACGCATATGTACTTTTGAGGCGTGAAAACGTTGTATCAACTCCTGATCCATTGCTGAGTTTAGCTTTGCTCAGGGATTGACCAAGGTTAAGCTTGAGGAGACTTGTTGACGGTCTCTAACATCAATTATAAACCGTCAACATAACATATATTTATACTTAATTCTATCACCAAACATAGGTATAGGGGTTTAAACTAATAAATTCCATGAGTTTTGGTGAATCTGTGTTTTCAATAGGGTTTATCCAGAAAACCATCAAGGGGACCTATTCGTCAAAGGAAATTACAGAATTCCACCACGTAAACAGCATGGGAAGATTCTAGAAGACTCTAGCAGGCTCTCCACCGAAGCAGACACTGAGGGGCTGCCATGTGCGGCCGGCCGGCCCCACCTACAGGCCGATCGGCACCTGGGCCCACCTGTCAGCCTTCGTGTCGCAATGTGGGTTCTGCCACCTCCTAGGTTACATCTACGTCGTCCTTTAAGTCGGTTTGATCAAAGAGCTCACATTGGACGCTACGGCCTATATATACTAGCCCCTGCCACCCTTCCTAGAGCCATCCTGAAATCCTAATTCATATAATGAGGATCAGGGCCAGCTATCAAGAGAAGATTAGTGCTCTATAGGATCTAGTCTTATAAATAATAGTGAGGTACAGAGTGAGAAAAGAGTTTGGAGGAGGTGCCGGCCTGTCGGTGCTCTCTCTATGGCTTGTACCTTGGCGGATCTAAGTTCTACTTGAGCTTGCCTTCGAGATTTGGTAATCAACTTCTGATTCAAGTAAATAATTGTTTATATTGTTGATTAGGATCATGACTCTCTTTTGAGTGCTTTAATCTATAGATGCTCTAGGTTAAAGTATTAATCGTAAGTGTAAGCATGGTGCTTAAACTTAGGTTAATTATGGATGCACCCTGCATTCTGGATGGTGGTAGATCGCGTGTGTGACATTAGTTTTATATAGACTGTACTATATAGATTTGTTGATCCTTTGTAGTCCACCTCTCGTTTGTAGGCGCAAGTAGGATGCGGTTACAAAGGAAAGCATTCTCTGCTGGTGTGTTTTCCTAATAATGTCCTCAGTTAAATAGTAGAAGACATAGTTTACCCAAGTCAGAACTAGAGAACCTTAGTTTTCCTCTCTACGCTCCTATTTATCTCAACCTTGTTGCTACCCCTAGTTAAGTTAAATCGTACAACCTGTTCGCTTGTTGGTTTCAGCCAGCCCAAGCCAACCAGCCAACAGTGTTTTTCTCTCACAACAAACCAGCACCAGCCAGCCCAAACTAGCCCAGAAACTAACCAGCGAATAGGCCGGTAGTTAGTCTCACACGTTTTCTTGTGGATACAATACCTGAAATACTTCCAGGTGAAAGCGACAACGGTATCCGTGCACTTACGGATTTATCTGTGTGCGTTAAATATACCAACAGTTAGCTAATTTTTAGTGCTAATAATGGATCCAAATAGACCCCTAACCCTAATAGATCAGAAACAAGACTTTGAACTCCCTCCGCCAAGAATGGTAAGCGTATCTTAATTATAAAGGAGTTCAAAATCTACAAATTATAGGTCAATGGGTAATTAAATTATATGCAAACTTAAGGCATAAAATTTGATTCATAGTTGTATTACCTATAGCTTCCTTATTCCTAGTCACAAGATTCGTATTCAATTGTCTCTGAGATCGTATTTGATTCTATAAAAATTACAAGTGAAAATCTACTTTTATATATAGATTTATTTACTCGATCCATTCTAAACTATAAAAGTTTTGACTTTTTAAATTTTATTTTTTACTATATATCTAGATATAGTATATATCCAAGTATATAGTAATAAAAATTATAAAAAAATCAAAACATCTTATAATTGAAAACCGGAGAGAGAGCATCATCTATGGGCGGAGGTCTAATCATCTTTGGTAAAGCTCCCACCGGCCCTAGCTTCTCTGACATAGGCACAGTTTGTGCACTATTTATGTACTGTTTATAAGAGTTTTTTTTCCTCTGTCCTCTTTTCTTCTCTTCTCTCAGAGAGTCGGTGGAGCTAGTTTTTCTGGCTTCCACATCTCTTGCTATGGAGCAACAGTGTAGGAGCTGGAGGAGCTGGGCAAAGGTGCTGTAATTCACACCGTACGGGCCCTAGCCAATAACTTCAACGGGTAATCTGCGCATGTTCTCTCAAGTGGCAAGTCTCACATAGATTAGCCAGGAGCTCTGTATCCGTATCTCTTGATAGACATGTCTGGTTTTCGTGGCCACCTGATATTGTTTGTAATTCAATTATGAGCTAATAAAGGGTGGCTTTCTAAAAAAAAAGCGGCCAAGTCCCACCATCAGATCTCATAGACCGCGTCCACCGAACCACGCAGACAATTAGTTGGCAACACCGAAGACACATCCCCATACACCACGTCCATGCAGAACTCCTTTCACCTCCGCCCTTCCCTCTCCAGCTCCCTCCCGCCACGAGCCCCTTATCCTCCAACGGCCAACGATCACCCCGAACCAGGTTCCCTCCCCCGCGCGCGCTCCGCGTCCGCTCGCCAATGTCCGCCGCGGCCGATGACCTCGCGCGCCGCGTGGCCGCGTTCCTCCCCGTCCCGCTCCCGCCGCCGTCGCCGTCGCAGAAGCAGCAGCTCTCCGGCGTGGCCGCTGCCGTGCTCGACGCCGGGGGACGCCTGGGCCGCGCCATTGGCGACGTCTTCTGCCGCCTCCGCATCGACGACACCTTCTACTCCGGCGGCGGCGTGCCAAAGCAGCGCCGGCGCAACTCTGGCAAGAATAATGGCGGGAGATCGTCGGCGGCGGCGGCCAGCAAGGAGGGGGCCACCACCAGAGGCGGCGACCCCCTCGGCTCCTCCGGTAGGTTCGCGCGGGCGCAGGGGAGCATGAACCTGTCGGCGACGTACGACAGCAGGACGAATGACGTGGAGAGCTCGGTGGTGGCCAGAGGCGACCTGTGGCGCGCGGAGGCGTCGCACAGCAGCAGCAGCGGCGGCGCCGCCAGTGGCTCTGCCCTGACAGGCGCCGGCGCCGGCTATGGTGCCAACCTGTTCCTCGTGCAGCTCGGCCCGGTCCTCTTCGTCCGCGACACGACGCTGCTGTTCCCGGTGCACCTCTCCAAGCGCCACCTCATCTGGTACGGATTCGAGCGCAAGGTGCGTGCTTGCGTTGATCTCGCGCAAAAATTTCAGCATTGCTTCGTTAAACCAAGAATCACACACACTGTGCAAAAAGAATGCCTTGACTTGAGAACATAATAGCTCTATCTGTTCTTGGCTTCTTGCAGAACGGAGTGCACTCGGTTTGTCCTGCTTATTGGTCGGCTCACAAGAGATGGTTCTTCATGTCCATGTTATGCCTGAACCCATTCGCTTGTGTAAGTCTAGGCGATCCCTGTTTCTGCTACCTTTCAGTTTTGTAGCTCCTGTCCATCTCCAACTGAACATTTTGTTCAAACATTATATTGTCAGTCGTTCATGGATATGCAATTCCCAAATGGGCAACTAAGATACGTTGCCGGCGACGGCTTCACGACGCGCGCTTTCCTTCCTCTCCGTGGTGGGATCCTGCAAGCCCATGGAAAATTCCCGGGGGAGAAGAGGCTCAGCTTCTCTTTCAAGGTCAGGCAACCGATGATCGAAGCGTACCAAGCTTCATTGCAGCAGGAATCGCATTTCCATTGCTAAATGTCTTTGCTGCACTTACAAAGGCCGTCTCAGTTGCTTGCAGAACAGGAGTGGCGGCAGCGTCGTCCCAATGGTCCAGTGGCCGGATAAGTCTCTCTCGCTGGGGATCGTCCAGGCATTGTCTTGGAGGACATCTGGCTTGATCCTGCAGCCAGCATCACAGATAAGGCAAACCACATCAACCATGCCACTCTTAATTCTGACAGTAGTATAAAAATAACAAAATTTGTCAGTACAATTGCCTGTTCCTTGCATATTGCAGTGTACCAAGATCTGTTTCACCGGCTCCTGTCCAGAACTCTGTATGAAACCGAAATGCATGGCATCTGAACTGACTGTAGCTTCTTCTGATGGATAGCATATGCCCGACGATCGGCGGCCGCCATCCTGGGGTGTGCATGGAGCTGATCCATTCGGCGAACGACAATGTCGGCGTAGTCTGCGGCTACTCCCACACTGCTTCCCCTTCTGCATACGCCTCCATATCGGTCTGTCCAGTTAGCAGAACCATTACATCTGAAGAAGTTTCACTTCACTTCCTCTCTGCTGATCATGTTTGGGTATCGTCACAGATCGGAAGATCGAAGCTGAATGGCGGAGCGGCAAGGTCAGGGTTAGTGTTCAGAGTAGACGCCCCACTCCACGGTTTCGGCCGGCCATGGTTCTCGGTTCAGATGAACAGCGGGATCGAGTTCTGATTCCCCATTGTTTTGTTGTGACTGAACGAACATACAGAATACACAGTTACACTGTTCAGAACAAACATACACAATTACAGGTCTTACTACATTGAAATGTACAGTCGATGTTGTGTATAAAGCTTGACGACGACGTGTATATAAAGCATTTTAATATGCTAGTTGTACAAAATGTATTGGTGGATAACTGATCACATGCGTATTTGCCACTTTAAAAGCAGCTGCCATGAGTATAAGCCTGTGCTTTTTAGTAAACGCTACAGCACTATCCCATTGCAATGGAGTATATCCATCTCTCTGGACGTGTCAAGTCTTGGGCTTTGTGCCCTAATCAGCTGGTAAGTCTTAAACTAAGCTCAGGTATTCACTGTTGCTCCGACGCCATCTCAATGCATCTTTTCGCTGAACACAAGCAGGGGAGGCGACCTGGCCAAACTTATGAACAGAAGTCCACGTTTCGCTGAAAAATCTGACGTGTGATAGCAAATGCATTCGTACTGCGCATCTGCACATGCCATTCTGCTACTTTCATGCCAAAGACGTATATAGTTGTGCTTGTGCAGTACGATCGTTGTTCATTCATCCTTCTGGGTGTCAAAATTCAAGCATGGACGTATTGGTACTGAGAGTTTTCCCCGAGCGTTCGACTTGCCGTGGCGAGCTACATATAAGATCCACCCGTGTAGCCGACTAGCGCAGCAGAGTTTCCTTTCGCTCCCCTCATTCTCCTGCCTGCCTCTGTTCACGTTCGTACCGTGCAGCTTGTGGTTGGCCATCAGGAGCACCGTCTTCCCGGCGACGTCGTCGTCGGGCGAGGAGGGGTCGCCGTTGTTACCACCGGCGGCGGAGGAGGAGATCACCGAGGAGGGCGGGACGCCGCGCAAGGACGGCGCCGCCCCGGTGGTGAGGCGGACCGGGCGGTGGCTGTCGTCGTCGCCGGGGACGGTGCTGCGGACGAGGGGCGTGCGATCGGTCATGGTCGGCTTCGTCCTTCTTGCCTTGCTGCTCGACGCGCGCAGATGGACGGGCCTCGACGCTGTAAGCATAAGCATGAATCTGTGTGTATGTGTTTGTTTTCTTCGTGTTACATTTTGTGAGACTGCTAGTATTGCTCACCGTTGCAACTTAAGTCAATCATTACGTGTTTTCTCGCAAAAAAGGTCAATTACGTGTTAATCTGGCCTAAATGTTCTATTGGTGCACGGTAATCGTATGCATAATTTTCAAAGGAAAAGGCTGGTTCTCCGAGAAGTTTGCGATGTTCTAGACGGGTCCGTAGGACTTGGATGGGGACGTCTTTTATATTTTGAAACGAGAAGAAGATGGCCAGATGGGCACATTCATGACTAAGAAAGCAAAAAAAATTAAAATGAAACTGATTATAAAAAATGAGCGAGCAGTGCAGCACACGAGTTTTTATACTGTTATTATTGTTACAAGTAAGCTTACTCTGAATACCCCTGCACGAATGGCACCACCGCAGCCGTCTCTACTAGGGAACACGGTCAGCATCGCCACCACAGCTACTCTCCGGCGCCGCTCGTGCCGATACCTTTCACCTGCGGCAACGAGACGCCACCGGAATGCCCTGGGACACCAGCACTGCCGCCACCGTCGACGACGACGATGCTGCCACCGCCCGGCGACGACCCGACGCTGTCGTGTCCAGACTACTTCCGGTACATCCACGACGACCTACTTCCGGCTGGTGGTCGTGGGCGGGTGCGCGTACGTGGAGACGTACCGGCGCGCGTACCAGACCCGGGACGTGTTCACGCAGTGGGGCATCCTGCAGTTGCTGCGCCACTACCCAGGCCGCGTCCCGGACCTGGACATCATGTTCGCCTGCGATGACCCGGGCCAGGTGCGCGCCGCCGACTTCCCGACGACGCCGTCCGACGCGCCGCCCGTGTTCCGGTACTGCAAGGACGCCCTGACGCTCGACATCGTGTTCGCGGACTGGTTCTTCTGGGGCTGGCCGGAGGTGGGCATCCGGCCGTGGCCGCAGCTGCTGGAGGAGGTGAGGCAGGAGAACGAGCGGAGAGGCAGCCCTACGCGTTCTGGAAGGGCAACCCCGAGGGCTACCGCATACGCCATGAGCTCCTGAGATGCAACGCCTCCAACGGCCAGGAATGGACTGCCCGCCTCTTCACCCAGGTGCTTCAGAGATAAAGAACACTGGGATTTTTTCCTCTTTTTTTGACGCCTACTAGTTAGTTGGTGATCTCAATTTACCTTATGTTACTGTCCTGTAGAACTGGCATTATGCAATTCAAAACGGGTTCAAAGATTCGAGAATACCTAAGCAATGCATTTACAGGTAAGCACATACGTTCAAAATTTCAGACTGGTGGTACGAAGGCAAAATTTCGTATACTAACAAACTATACGATACTTCCTGCAAAATTCTAGTGAAATTCACAGGTCCAAATCCATGGTGTTGCTCAGATCATCTGACAATGGATGCAGATACAAGGTTTACGTGGAGGGGAACGCGTGGTCGGTGAGCGAGAAGTACATCCTGGCGTGCGACTCGCCGGTGCAGTTCGTCACTACGCCCTTCCAGGACATCCTGTCCAGGGGGCTCGTCGCCGGCAAGCACTACTGGCCCATCAACCGGGAGCACATCTGCAAATCCATCTAGTTTGCCGTCGACTGGGGCAACGAGCACCCAGCGCAGGCGCAGCTCATCGGCGAGCAGGGCAGCCAGTTTGTGAGGGAGGAGATGAGCATGGACTACATCTATGACTACATGCTGCACCTGCTCACCGAGTATGCCAAGCTGCTCCGGTACAAGCCTACCATACCGGAGAACGCCGTGGAAATCTGCACAGAATCCATGGCCTGCCCCGCACAGGGCCTGCACCGGGACTGCATGATGGACTCCATGGAGAGGAACGTCGCAGGCTTCGACCCATGCACACTGCCGCCACCATCACCGCTGAGGAGGCCAAGGTAAAAGCCGACAGGGAGGCGGAGGTGCTGAGGAAGGTAGAGAAGATGGAGGGCTAGGTGGCTAGCTATCTGAAATCTGACACCATACAATTTGATGTAAATTAGAAAAATGAGAAGAGTTTAGCTGGAGCCAACGGTTTCTGGCTTTAGCATGGAAAAGAGCAATGCGCAGGTTTCTTTGAGAAACATAGAAAAGTAGATAATCTTGAGCAGTTTTACATGGTATATTGGCTTTTCATTGCCATTGACTTTTCTTCAAGCCCAATGGCAGATAAAATACACTACTGTTCTGCTTTTCACTCCCAATGTAAAATAATTTCTGCTTTGATTCCTTTTCTCAAAGTTGCATCATCAGGGATACAGGTGGATACCTAATGCATTGGTGTTTCATGCACTGAATTGTCTGTCCTTTCAACCATGCAATTCTTCATCCTGCAGGATATTCTTGTATCAAAACAAGGAGATTTACCTAGAAAAAAAAGGGAAGCACATAATTAGAAGAATCGAATGCCAGAAATTCATTTTTTTTCCTGTATTGTCAACTTTAACAAGATAAATCTATGATACAAAGTGAATGAAGTGAGAATACAATGAAACATGCTATTTTGTTTTACCCTCTAAGAAAAAGAAAGGGTTGTAGAAGCACAAGACTGGACAGTAGACTGCCCCATTACAAAACAAGTGGAATAGATTTAAATTGTTGATAATAATATATATTAAAAGGGTCATTACTTAGAAAGCATGAAGCAGTGTCTTCTGCCCTATCATGAAATTAAGTATTGCTGTGAAGCAAGATGAACCTGTTACTATAACAATTGTAATCAACTGGTAGTCCACAGGAATGTCACTTGCTGTCAACCCAAAAGGCACAAAAAGGACAAAAGTGTCTGGTCATGAAATTATTTAGTTAATTACACCATTTCCGTTGTCAATGCTTCATCAGCCTTTACTTTTCAAATGTATTATATTATTGTTGATTATGAAACTGAGTTTTGCATATTACATAGTAGACCCTCATCACACCATTGTAAATCATTTTAGAAATATGACAATCGTATCACTGATTTTATAACTTCTATAAAGAAAGATTGGTATCAGCAGGGATGTTGAATAAAGATCAGATCACCTTGGAAGCTCTAGTGAGTTCACGGACTATATATATCATGATCTTTTAGTGTCTAAAACAAAGACAATAAGTAATCCATCATAAAATAGCAAGTACCACTAATCCACTACCACCTTCTCTAACCTAATAATTATTATAAACAACAATACAAGAAGCTGCTAGGACAAAATCGAGAAACACAATTTAATTCACTTGTTAAGAGCAGAGATGTTAATGAGACAGAAATGGTTGCTCACTTCACATAATCACGACGCATGAGGCAATAACTTCTTTCAGCCCTTCCATATGGAGCACATCATGACTTATGGCAGACCATATCCTGCCACATAACACTGATTTTGATCCTTTTGTGTTACGATGACTCGTGAGACAACTATGACCATCAGTTCTCCAGTATTCCACAAAGAGAGGGTGGTTCTTGAATGTCCAAAATCACCCTCATCTTGGACTTGGAAGCAGTCCATCCCTTGCCATGCCATGCAGAACATCTAAGACTGCATCCACATTACCTTCCTTTAAGTTGAGATCAATAAGAGCCTTTGATGCTTCTGCATCAGCAAGGGAACAACAGTTTAACAACTGCTGAATCACCTGATCTGCTTCCACAACCATCCCCTTTTCAAATAGACCTCTAATCAAGGAAATCGTGCTTGTTGAATTTGGAGCAAAACCACACTGCAGCATTTGCTTATAGAAGCTGAGAGCCTTCATAACATTTCCTCCCCTACAATGCCCATGAATAAGCACACTGTAGACAGATCCATCAAGGTTCCAGTTTCTGTCTAACATTGATTGATAAACTTTATCAGCTTCATTCATTAAACCTTTCATGCAAAATCCCTTCAAGAGAGCTAACACACTCTTAAGCTCAGCTTTCCTACAACAACGCATCAGGGCATCGTATTTAACATTTGCTGGAACTGGCTCTTCATGGTACAATTTGAAGAGTAACCGTTGTGCTTCCTTAGTACGTGCTGATTTACTAAGCCCATTAATAAGCACACTGTAAGTCACAACATCAGGGAGAACTCCTGCCTTTACCATTTCATCGTGCAGAGAAAGAGCCCTCTCTACATTGCCCTCCTTGCAGTGGCCATCAATAAGGGATGTGTATGTAAATTCATCAGGTTGTAGGCCAAGCTTAATCATATTTTTGAAGAGTACATGGGCGTCACTGAGTCTTTTCTCCTCACAAAGAACCCTTATGAGTGATGAGTAGGTGATTGCATCTGGAAGAACACCCTTCTCAAGCATTTGTTGGTTCAATTGGAATGCAGAATGTGTATCACCATTCTTACAGTACGCACCGAGAATCGTACTGTATGTCACAACGTCAGGCTTCACTCCTTTAGCTTCCATTTCATGGAGTAACTCTGTTGCTTCATCCATTCTTCCTACCATACAATAACCATTAATAAGTGCATTATAACACACCACTGAAGGCTGTATTCTGCATTGCCTCATCTCCCTTACTGCAAGCAATGCATCATCCAAGAATCCCTTCTTGCAAAACCCATCTATCAAGGCGGTAAAAGTGATCTCATTCATCTGGAGGCCCCTCTCCCTCATCTCCCTCACCAACGCCACTGCTCGCTCCAAGTTCCCAGCCTTGAACATTACATGGATCAATGATGTAAATGTCACGACGTCTGGAATGATCCCTTTCTGCGTCATCTCTGCAAACACAGACAATGCCTCGTGCGAGCACCCCGCCTTGCAATACCCACCCACCAAGGTGTTGTAACTTACCCCATCCGGCGCCAAACCCTCCCTCGCCATTTCATCAAACACCTTGCGTGCGTCCTCCATTCTCCCAGACTTGCAGATCCCATTCACCACCGAATTGAAGGTCACCAGGTTGGGCTTCAAGCCGCCCTCCCGCATCATGCCGACCAGCCTCTCGGCGCCATCCACCTCCTCGGCTCTGCAGAATGCGGCGACGAGCGTGTTGTAAGTCACGGCATTGGGGTCGCAGCCCGCGCCGCGCATCTCGCGCAAGACGCCGAGCGCCTCCTTCCGGTGTCCGCGGCCGCACAGCGCGCGGACGAGGATGTTGTAGGTGTACACGTTGGGCGCCACGCCGTCGCTAAGCATGGAGTCGAAGAAGCGCCTAGCGGAGGGGAGCGACGCGTCGGAGAGCGCGAGGAGGACGGCGTTGTAGGTGAGCACAGAGGGGGCGTACCCGGCCGACCTGGCGAACGCGAGCGCCGCGGCGGCGAGGGAGGAGCGGGAGGGGAGGGAGGCATAGGACTTGATGAGCGAATCGAAGGGGCGCGGCGGCGGAGAGGGGAGGAGGCGGAGCGCGCGGAGGAAGCAGACGAGGAGCGGGAGCGGCGGGAAGGACGCGACGAGGCGAGAGGCCGCGGGGAGCGAGAGTGGGAGGTGGCGGCGGCAGAGGGGGAGCGGAAGCGGAGGCAAGCGCGCGGAAGGGTTGAGGAGAGCCGCGAGGTGCGCGTGGTGGACCGCGTGTTGGCTACTACACGCCTCCGCGGCCGCTTGCCGCGTGGCGGCGGCGGCGGCGGCGTGGGCGGCTGCCATATTCTTCAGGCCGCCGCCGGCAGGCGTTGCGACAGTGGCGGCGGCGCGGGTGGCACCCGGCTCGGCATGGGCCTCGAGCCCGACGGGTGACGGGTGCGTCCGTTATGTGGACCGGTGGGACCTAGCCGTCAGTGAGATGTCATCCCAAACCCCCGTGTTTCCCGAAACTTTTCCTTTCCTTCCGTTTTCGACCAAACGCTCTCCCTCCCCGTTTTCGACCAACCCCGACCCTTCGAGCACCCAAGGTGAGATTCGATCCCCCAAAAATTCCTTTTTCTCTTGTTTTTTATTGCCTTCATCTTCTTCTTGCGATTTCCTGTGGCTTGTGTTTTGCCTCCATTTATTTCGAGCGTGTATTTTGCGTCGATTGTGTGCGCTTATTGTCGAAGCTGATCCGTCCGATCTGTGGTTGTTGGGGCTCCTGATTGGGATTTCCGTTGAATCAGATGATGATACAGTTAAGAATTGTTGTTTGGTTGGCCCGTTCGTGGTTGAAGGCGCCAGGAATTGGTTATCTAGGGACTAGGGTTACTCATCCCAAATTTCTTCGGTTCTTTATAAATCGTCTTTCCCCCATTTACCATAGCTAAAACACAAATACTATTGTCTTACATGATATCAGGATGTAGAGATCAGGAATGAGAAGCTATAGTTTTCCTAATCCTATGTATCTGATTCAGATAAATAAACCTAGCAAACAAAAAATATTTTTCCAATTTCTTGATTCCATTTAAACTCCTGTGTCCAAACTGCTTGTAGGTGGTTTATTAAACCTTTTCTTTTTGCAATTGAAAAGAAGCAGATTGGATTGAGAGTTGTGCCAAATACGAGTTCTTATTTTTAGATTTTGTCCCAAAGAATATCTGTGCTAGAATTTCCTGATAAGATGTTGTTAGTTAGGTATTGACGTATTGTATTATGATATGCTATTTGGTAACTTCTATGCATGTTTTGTATTGCATAGCTTTTTATGTTACCAAAGATTCCTTGAAATTTATTAGGGTAATGTGCAATATAGTTAGTTACTATTACAACTACAACTGCATATAAGTGTACATCTTAAGGTCGATTAGGATGCTTAATCACTGTGGTTTGGGTTGTTTTGAAGGAAGAAAAGAAGTTGAACCATGGGGAAGAGAAAGTCAGCTGCTAAGCCACCTCCTAAGAAGCGGATGGACAAGCTTGACACTGTCTTTTCCTGCCCATTCTGCAATCATGGGAGCAGTGTTGAGTGCCGAATGTGAGCAACATTTTCCCAGCTTTCCTGTTTAGCCTTTGATGCTGGATTTGGTATTGCATTCAGAATGTGTGACTTGATTTTTCTCTTTTATCCAGTGACATGAAGAATCTGATTGGCGAAGCTTCTTGTAGAATCTGTCAGGAAAACTTTAGCACAACTGTTAATGGTATGTCAAAACTATGTATAAAACTCGACCTGCGGGGGTTATGACGGCCCCCGGGTTTTCTTACTAAGAAGAAGATCTTCTCACACAGATCGAGAAAACCCCTGAACCCCCGCCCCAATCCTGACGCAGGAGGTGCCGTAACCCTGTGAGAACCGGGCCGGAGCCTTCCACTGCGCTTTGGCACATGGGGACGGGCGAGGGGATTTTTTTAACCTCAGCCTGAAATTCGCTCCCACGGGGAGTCGAACCCAGGACCTAAGGAGTGCCGCTGGGTCACCTAACCGATTGAGCTATGTCAAAACTATGTATAAAACTATAGTAGTTGCTCCTAATTTAGCTTCTATGAACTGTTACTAATTTGCTCCTAGAAAGTTTGGCATCAAGCAACTCATGAATTTGTTTTCTTATTATTGGGCTGATGGACAAGGCAATGTGAAATTTTCATGGCACCTGGGAACAGAACGTAGCTTACAAAATTGCAGAGCCATTCCCATTCCCATTTCTCTTTTCATCTTGTAATCTTGTCTTAGTAATAGTGGTGGACTTTGTGGGTTGGCTGTTCCATAGTAATTCCTGAGTATGTGATTCGTAGAATGTCCAAACTTCATCCATCAAAAGTAAAGTAAAACTGGATGGAATACCATAGATAATAGAGGGATTAGTAGAAGTCTAACTGTTAAGCAGTATATTTCTTTATGTTTATACTAAGTTACTAATTGTCTGATCTGATCTCTTTTTCTTGCAGCACTCACTGAGCCTATTGATATGTAAGTCAATCCTGTCAATCTTTGCAAATTAATAATAAATCCGTTATGTTTATCCTCAACTGGAACTGAGCTGGAATCATTTTCGCCCCTCACAGATATAGTGAATGGATTGATGAGTGTGAGCGTGTCAACACTGTTGAAGGTGACGATGATGCGTAAGCTTGCCCCATGCGGATGAAACAGTTACCTACAACTGTAATGTGCCGGCATTCTCATATGCCATAGCCCATAGTCAGCCATGGCTTGTAATAACGTAGTGGCTGACTGGTATGCCAGTAGGCAGCTTATCTAGTACTTATTGAACTCCAAAAAGTTTGTAGTATACATGTATGGATAACCTTAAAAGTGGTTATGTGTGTGCCTATGGAACTAATGCTTATCCCAGAATCCCAGATGGTGTTACAGCGTTTTTTCTGTGAGATTGTTTTCAAGCAAAGAGTAGTTCATTCATTGGGTCTTCTCATGGAGAAGAGAATTATGCTGCAGGCAACAAGATGGCCGCGGTTGCGCCAACAATTCTGGGGTAGTGTAGAACAAATGCAACCAGAATATAATCTGCATCGAAAGATATTCATAGATAAAATGGTTTTTAGTATAAGAATCCAGTATCCAGACTTGTGCATTTTCAACACTGAAAGCAATCTCAGTCTGAAGACTGGACTTTGGATGGCATTTGACAGCTTTGGAACCTGGAGTACCGCTCATTACTTTACATCAAGATGGCATTTGACAGCTTTGGAACCTGGAGTACCGCTCATTACTTTACATCAACTCCCGTTCATTTCTTCTTTTGCGCATCGTTGCGACTTGGAGATCGTGATCATCCCAATTGTACGCACCATAAAACGATCAGTCCACCGACAAGGCAATTGTACGGCTGCTTTGTCATCCTCTGATGAGCCGTGCAATTAATCAGCACTGCTTGCTTCAGCAAGCCTGACTACATCTACCGTTCTTTGTAGTTAAGGCCGGAGTTCGTCTCGGATTGGCTCGTTATCTTAACGAGCCAGAAGGTCAGCTCGGCTTGGCTTTGCTCGTTAAGCTCGCGAGCTAGATGTAAAAAGTACACAAAATATAATATTTGCATTTATCTAAAGCTTGAGAATAGTAATAAAACAAAAGTAACACATCCAACAACCTTAAATTGAACAAAATATTCATATGTGCTAACATATATACAAATATAATAATATCTATAGTATTACACCATACATCCATGGTCAATACTATAGTTTTTTCCTTGGAAGCGTGGCTCGTTTAGCTCGTGAGCGGCTCACGAGCTGGCTCGAGTTGGCTCGTTATAGCTAACGAGCTAAAATCTTGGCTCGGCTCGGCTCGTTATCATAACGAGCCAAGTTGAGCCAGCCACGAACCGAGCGCGCTAACGAGCTTCGAATCTTTTTTGTCTAACCTTATTTGTAGTAGAAAATAAGCAGCAGCAGCATGCCCAATGAAAAAAAAAAATGAAAACACTTCCATTAAACAGAGGCATGGCGTAATATTAGCTACTTATCACCAAAGAATTTTACATGCATATGAGGGTACATCATCATAACAGAAACAAACTAACACCCGCTGCCCTAGGACTAACTCCAACACCCGCTAGTGCATCAGCAACTCGATTACAAAAGTGCCAGTTGTATACAGGACTTTGTAATCCGCCAAACTAGTAGACAAAAGAAACTTAATTTCTGTTAAGAGGACTGCTAACGATGCAAAATTATATTGGCCTTGTTCGCTTGTCTTATGAGCCGTACTGTTTCAGTGAAGGAAAACATGGCCATTGTCAGGTACTACTCTTCCAAAGTCATTTCGACTTTGCTAGATTCATAATTTTTGTTATATATCGATCTAGATACTATGTTTAGATATATAGTAAAAACTATGAATCTATAAAACCAAAATGACTTACAATTTGAAATGAAGAGAGAGAAATAAGTAGTACAGTCTTCAAAATGACACCATCCGTCTCCAACTCAATTCTGAACATGCCCACCTCCAATGCAAATCTGGGAGCTTCCAGACATAACCTCAGCATTCTTTGCACCTGATGCCAAAATTTATCCCTACCGATCACATATCACAAAACCCCAACCACCCATTCTTTGCACCATAAGGCAGAAACTAATTTTAGGAAAAATATGACACAAGTTTTATATTTTTAGATAAAAATTTATTTTTTTAAGATTAAACTAGATTTGATGATTTTATTTCGTAAATTTTCAAAATATATTTGGACATTTATTAAAAAAAAAACTAAAGTCCGATTTAACCTTATCATGTAGTCCTATTTAAACCCTCGTCATGTAGCGTGGCGCCACATGAGTAAAACTGCCATTAAAACTGTTCAATATAAAAAACAAACTGTTTAAAAGTTAGAGGAGTCTTTTATAGACGTGGAAAAGGAAATCGGACAAAGGGATAAGACTTTTTGCAATGTACCTCGCACATTGCCACGGCACAGGCTGAAAATGGTCGAAAGGCCCAGCAACAGCCCACAAACACGAGATCGGCTGACATAAATAAACAACAACAAACGGCCCATTTGTTCCCAAGACCGAACAATAAAAACTCACAGGCATGACGGACGGGGGCAGCTTTCCACTTTCCTCCACTTGCCATGCCCTCGCAAAGTCGCCACCGCTGCCTATCGGCTACTCACTAGAAGCTGTTACACAAAAATTTGACATCTAGCATCCTGTCGGTTACTCACTAGCCGATATGCCTACGTGCGGGAACCTGTCGGTTACTCACTAGCATGGTGGTGATGATGTATCAAGTATTCAAGTAGTATTACGACCATTTGGATTAGAGAAAGGAAGGGGAAGCAAAGCATGCGTATATATGGCCGAGCTGACAACCGCGCAATCGCCACTTGCCAGCGGCGGAGGCGGATGAATGCGCGCGCTCAGCTGCCGGGCCCACAGAGGCTTCCACCTTCCGCACTCGGCTCTCGCCAACGCAAGTGTCGGCCCTAGACCGATGGACGGGCCCAGGCGCCATAGGAGGGATGTCTCAGGACGTCGGACAAAGTCCAAGTGGAGGCTTTGTCCGCGCGAGGGCGTAACAGCGGCCAACGAGGGCTGACGGTGGAAGAGGTGCCGAGGAGACGTGGGCTCGGCTGCAGGTCCCAACCCAGCTCTGTGCGGGCTTCGGGAAAGTCATGATCTGCACAGTTTTGGGCTTCTGCACGGCATGGCACATCTTGTGTTTCCACGGGGGCACGGAGAACCTGCCGCACACGGAGATAGCGTGTCAAGGACAAGGAATCACGCATTTTTTTAAATAATATTTTTAATGAGTAATTGCAAATCTAGCAGACACTATTAGCCGGACCTGGATCACCGTGCAGCCCGTCGAGGGCGCCTTCGTCGTCAACCTCGGCGACCACGGCCACGTGAGTAGTCTCCGTTCGTTCGTTCGTCCGTTTGCGGCCATGTGTGATGGACTGCTAGCTGGCGCTTACACATATATACGACGAACGTGAGCAGCTCCTGAGCAATGGCAGGTTCAAGAACGCGGATCACCGGCGGTGGTGAACTCAGAGTGCATCCGCCTGTCCATCGCCACGTTCCAGAACCCGGCGCCCGACGTGACAGTGTACCCGATGGCCGTGCGGGACGGGGAGGGGCCCATACTGGACCAGTCCATCACCTTCGCCGAGATGTACCGCCGCAAGATGGCGTGCGACATTGAGCTTGCCAAGCTCAAGAAGCAGGCCAAGGCCGAGAAGCGGCTGCAGAAGAGTGCCAAGGAGTTCGCCGCGCCGAATGCCAACAAGTTCACCGTGCCGACTGCCAAGGAATTCGCCGTGCCGAACGCCAACAAGCCTCTCGACGACATTCTTGCCTGATAAGGCGACTGCTCCATTGATCCACGGTTTATATCGTCGCGTGTGAATCATTTATAATAAAGAACATAGCTATATACGAGCGTGCGGCAATTAAGTTAAGCGCTATGAAATAAGGCAGCGCTGCTCCTGCTAGTGTGCCTGTGACGACTACGCTTTTCTATCTCTCTTTCTCTGGAATGTATTTCTCGGATCTGCAGTTCCACATACATGGGCGGTTGACCCATGTAAAATCTTTGTTTATTGTAATACACAGAGAGCTATATATACGAGATTTGCTAAAATTCAAGTGCCTAAATTTTAGTTTCATTTTAAGCGACGGTTATTGTATATATTTTATATTAAAACTGTTGTTTTAGTTCGTTGCAATTTTATAGGCACAATTTGTAATTTTTGGTTCAGAAAATAAAAAAGCTAGTTAGACAAAACCACAAACTCGACAAAATGCAATCATGTGTTCACACAAAGTCATTTTAATAATTTACAATTGTTTCTATAATCAAACAAGGACAAAATTTTATATGTTATGACATAAAGATAAAGAACAAATCACAAAAGCAATAATTTACTTATACTAGTTATAGTACAAAAGTATTATCTAAAATTATCTTAAGATTCAGACATCTGAAATATAGAAAAAGTGACTATATATGCCTATGTTTGTATTATGATAGGGGAAAGAAAAAGGCCTTCCACACCGCGCGCCGTGGCATGGCACTCAGTATGCATGAAATCTGACATGATCGGAAAAAAAGTCAGTTACGTTTGCCATTGCTCAAAGTGCCTAGCACAGGAGAAGGTTGACCAAATGCTAAGGGCTAAAGGCCGGCCTGTTCCTTATGACCCATCAATCAAAATCAAAATATAATAATGTTATAAGCCGTCGCGCTTAACAATTCTGCCGGCACATACTGCTTTATTTGTTTAGACAAACCAGCTAGGCAAGCAGCCCAATAGGAATGGCTAGCTGGCTAGAGCACCCACAAGCATGGTGGTGATGATGTATCAAGTATTCAAGTAGTATTACGACCATTTGGATTAGAGAAAGGAAAGGGGAAGCAAAGCATGCGTATATATGGCCGAGCTGACAACCGCGCAATCGCCACTTGCCGGCGGCGGAGGCGGATGAATGCGCGCGCCCAGCTGCCGGGACACCACGGCCGGACACACAGAGGATTCCGCCTTCCGCACTCGGCTCTCGCCAACGCAAGTGTCGGCCCTGGACGGATGGACAGGCCCAGGCGCCATAGGAGGGAGGTCTCAGGACGTCGGACAAAGTCCAAGTGGAGGCTTTGTCCGCGCGAGGGCGTAACAGCGGCCAACGAGGGCTGACGGTGGAAGAGGTGCCCAGGAGACGTGGGCTCGGCTGCAGGTCCCAACCTAGCTCTGTGCAGGCTCCGGGAAAGTCATGATCTGCACAGTTTTGGGCTTCTGCACGGGCATGGCACATCTTGTGTTTCCACGGGGGCACGGAGAACCTGCCGCACACGGAGACAGCGTGTCAAGGACAAGGAATCACGCATTTTTTTAAATAATATTTTTAATGAGTAATTGCAAATCTAGAAGCTGCTACACAAAAATTTGACATCTAGCAGCCTGTCGGCTACTCACTAGCCGATAGGCCTACGTGCGGGGACCTGTCGGCAGCTGGAGGGCTGACAGGTACAGTCAGCTGCCCAGCCGCGAGCCAATGTGGCCTATTGGCAACGTCAGGGACCTGTCGGCAGCTGGAGGGCCGACAGGTACAGTCGGCTGCCCAGCCGCGAGCCAAAATCGTCAGGGACCCTGTCGGCAGCTGGAGGGCCGACAGGTACAGTCGGCTGCCCATTCACCAGCCAAAATGGCCTGTCGGCAACTTACAGGGACCCTGTCGGCAGCTGGAGGGCCGGCAGGTACGGTCGGCTGCCCAGTTACCTGTCGGCAGCTGGCCCACACTATTTAGCCGGACCTGGATCACTGTGCAGCCCGTCGAGGGCGCCTTCGTCGTCAACCTCGGCGACGACAGCCACGTGAGTAGTCTCCGTTCGTTCGTTCGTCCGTTTGCCACTATGCCAGAAAACGTTATCAGTGACACGACGATTCGTGACACAAAAACGAAACGCGTCACCAATAATCTATCCGTGACGCGGGTTCACGAGACGCGTCACCGATTAGTTGTTGCCCATGCCCCAGGAGCAAGACGCGTCACTAATAACGATGTATTCATGACGCGCGTTAACAAGACGCGTCACGGATAAAAATGTGACACGTATTGTCAAGGCGCGTCACAGATATATTATAGTATTGGTGACGCTGGTTAACAAAACGCGTCACAGATAAGGCATGTGACACGTTTTTGCTGGACACGTCACCAATAGGAAAGCATATCCGTGACACTTCTCGATAACCCGAGTCACAGATAATAAATGTGACGCGTGTTCTAAAGACGCGTCACTGAGTTATGGCCAGGGACACATCTACAACACCGATCTTAACTCATGTTTATTAGCTTCGTCCCCTAAAAAAAAATGTCCCGGTCGAAATAAAAAATGCGTGGAGCTCCGACCGCCGCCGTCGACCTGCAGCTCCGGCCGGTGCCCTGTGGAGTCCCCACACCACGGCACCTACAGCTCCGGCCGGAGGCAGCCCCCACCCCACCCCGGTGGACTCCCAATCCCGACGCGTCCAGAGCTCCGGCAGTCGCCGCGCGCCGCGCGCCCACCTCGGCTCCTCCAGCTCCGGCCATCGCGGCCGCCCATCTCGGCACCTGCATCTCCGGCCAGAGCCCCCCACCTCTGCGCCGCCCCATCACTCGAGCCCAGGCCCCGGCGGTCACGTGTCGTCGGCGGCCTCCAGGGCGCAGCATCGTCGGACCAGAGCACGGCCGTCTTCGTGTCAGCAAGGGCGAGATTCGCTCGCGTCCATCGCCCACCTCGAGCAGAGGTACAACATCGCTCACTTCTTTTCCCTTTTTCCCTTCGGCTGTGTTCTTGATTGTGCGAGAAATGGATCCGGTGCTGTCATGTGGAAGCGTTCAGAGAGTCTGTAACTGTCAATTGACAGCAATCTGTAGTGTACACACTATTGCTCGGATGCAGAATAATCTCTAGTGTCAGGTATAGGTACTATTGCTTATCTCTAGTGTCAATTGAAGCTTTACACAAAAAAATAGTGTCAATTGAAGCCCCACTATTGCTCGTCTCCTAGAATTAACTTTGAGATGCAGGCTTGTTTGGATGGAATCATGGAAGCGTGGCTAGCTAGACAGTAGTAGACTTGTGCAATATCCATCCATCCAATGATTCAAAAAGTTCAAAACTGCTACTTAGAATTGATGTTAAATTGCAATAGCTTCCAGAGTCTAAAAATGTGTTGCCTACGTGGCTCCCAGAAAAAGAATTATGGGAAGACATCTGCATGTTCTTTCTTGTTTCTGGCAAACAAACACTGACTGCTACTAATAGGTAGTCTACTTTGTCAGGCAAAATTATCAGGTCCCGTTATGTTCCATTGTTTCTCTGCTACAAACGTGGAATTAGTCCAAAACTAAACTAACCAAAGACAGATTTCAGTTTCTGTTATATATATGCCTATGATTATATATATGAGGTTCCTAATGTTTCTCTGCTATGGTCAAATAACCAATACTGCCAGACAGTACTTAGCAGCAAAATTTCTTGAGGTCGTGCCTATACTAAACCAGTTACTCGAATGCTTGTGTGTTCAGATTAATAATATCCGATATGCTTGATTTCTGCAGGGAGCAAAGCATCAGATACTCGAGGAATAGCAAAGCCTGATTCCTGACAACTACGTTTGTTCCAAGCTGCAAATGCTTTACTACTTGAAATAATCAATGGAGGATAGGAGTGCTGAACACCACTAGCCAAGAAGTCTACTAGTCGGAGGAAGCTGCTACTGTCCAAGTAGGTATTTTCTGCTGATTTAGCATCTTCCCAATTGGGTCCTCACGGTGTATTATTGGTTGTTGGATTGAGACATAGTGGGATTGCAAACATAAAGTCTAAAATTTAGTATTTTTTGGATTATTTTTGTTGGGATGGATTGGACTGATGTCGTGAGGGACTGGTTAAAATTCCAGCAGTTTTGGTTTTGAAAATTTCATTGCAAAATAGACAGTAGGTGTGCTCTCTGTTCAGTTTAATGCATAATATTTTTCTATCAGTGGTATACAGCTTAGTACCCTGTTCTAGCTAGTTGTTGTCTTCTTTGGCTGTTAGTTCAATATCAGGTTTGACTGAACTCACATAGCCAAGCTAAGCTCTACTTCAGTGCAACTTGTTTTTCATAGAGCTTTGGCTAGTCATATCTTTTTCTTTGGAGTGTCACACTGATGCAATAGTAAATTTACTATTCAAGTAATTTATAGGATTTTCATGCAAGGATTAGTTGATTTCATTTGTTTTCATACTTTTGTAGATATGGAGGATCGGAGCTGGATGTCTCTTCGCAACCGTGCATGTGCTCAGTACTTAGATGGTCTGAAATTATTCATAAGAGCTGCAGAGGCGGATATGTTGAATCGGCACAAGACAACTATGTGGTGTCCATGCATTGATTGTGAGAATAAGAAGCAGTTCTCGAGTTCATTAACACTCCATGCCCACCTGATCCTCCGAGGATTCATGGATCACTACAGATGTTGGAACAAGCATGGAGAAGGAGTTAATGATCGAGACTTGCAAGATGGTTGTATGGACCAAGGATTCTCTGGTGACCTACGTTAGGATGATGGAACTCATGGTGCTAGTCAGGACAACGAGGAAGGACCCTTTTGCATCCCGGATCTCACCGATGACAAGCTAGCAGATATCAGTGCCAATTATGCCCAGAAGTCACAGGACCTTGAGGAGATGGTGCGTGATGCCATGGGCTTTGATGAGTACACTGAGGCGGAGATGAAGAAGCTAAAGAGGTTGATGGCAGACATGAGGACTCCTCTCCATCAGAGCTTCAAGGCAAAGTATTCAAAGTTGTTTGCTACTCTCACGCTTCTCCAGTTGAAGGCGACATATCATTGGATGACCGAGCTTCATGCATTGCTACATCGATTAGAGGACATGTTGCTGAGGGGAATGAGTTACCCAAGACCACATATGAGGCCAAGCAGATTGTTTGCCCTATGGGATTGGAGGTCGAGAAAATCGATGCTCGCAAGAATGATCATATCTTGTACCATGGTAAAGAAAACGAAAAAGCCCGACCGAATGCCCCCGAGTGTGGAGTCTCTCGATACAAACGAAGAAATGACGGGGTGATGAGGACAAGAGGCATGGAGCTCCTTGGAAGGTGGTATGGTACTTCCCTATAATCCCTCACCTGAAGTGTTTGTTTGCAACTGCCAAGGACGCGTAGTTGTTGAGTTGGCACAAGGAGGGACACAAGAATGATGGTTACCTATGGCATCCAGCAGATGCTATTCAGTGGCGCGTCATCGACTCCAAGTATGCATCTTTTAAAGATGAGCCAAGAAACATTCGCTTTGCCTTCGAGCACAGATGGCATGAACCCGCTCGGTAACAGAGCAGCTCGCATGATTGTCTCGGCCTATGTTGTTATCGATCTACAACATTCCATCATGGTCGTGTAACAGAGGAAATACATGATGATGCCACTTTTGATCTCGGTCCGCATCGGCCGTGGGAATGACATCGACGTGTATCCGAGGTCAAGTTGTCGATGAGCTCAAGACGCTCCGGTCGGACGGTGTCAAGGTATATGATGGGTTCAAGAGAGAGTCATTCAAGTTGCGTGCGTAATGGTGTTAACCAAAGATCACCGATGTTCCGGACACCGTTGCTTGTCCGGCAGATCAAAGGAGAGAAAGTTTGCTTTCAAAGGTGCTTAGATGATACCGAGAGTCTTTTTGCAACAACTCAAAGAAGAGGGTGTACATAAGACATCGCCGCTTCTTAGCCGATCCCATCCTTACCGGCTCATGAAACGCCAGCTTGATGGCACAATTGAGAAGGGATCTGCTTTCGAGGCATTTCACTGGGCACGATGTCTATGGCCAGGTAAAGGATGTCAATGTTACATTGGGGAAGAACAAAAAGAGTGCCCTTGGAAAGAGAAAGCGCAAGGAGGAAGAAGTCGCTGATAAGAGGTGGAAGAAGTCCATTCTATGGGAGCTACCCTATTGGAAAGACTTAGCAGTTCGCCATAGCATCGATGTCATGCATGTGACAAAGAATGTTTGTGGGAGCTTACTTGGAACACTCTTGAACACCAAGGGGAAAAGCAAGGACCATGCAAATGCACGAGCGGACATGAAAGATTTGGATATCAGGCCTGAGTTGTGTCCTGAGGACCCCAGTGCCCAGCTACCATTATGTGCCGTAAATCTAACTAAGGAAGAGAGGCAGGAGCTATGCGACTTCTTTCGTAGCGTGAAAGTTCCCTCCGGATACTCAGCGGACATCAAGAAGCTCGTGGCACCAAAAGAGAACAAAATGCTCCCAATGAAGGCTCACGATTGCGATGTCATGCTCACAACAATGCTTGCGGTTGGAATCAGGAACATTTTGCCAGAAAAAGTCCGAATGGCAATCATGAGCCTATGCTTCTTCTTCAATGCAATATCTCAGAAGGTTCTTGATGAGAGGTCACTGGACAATCTTGAGAAGAAGCTTTTCCAGACAATGTCTCTTCTAGAGGCGTACTTCCCACCGGCATTCTTTAATATATCTGTTCATCTCATTGCTCATCTGGTCAAGGAAATAAAGTATCTTGGTCCCGTGTTCCTGCATCATATGTACCCGTACGAGAGATTCATGAGCACTTTGAACCGGTATACAAAGAGTCGGGTTCATCATGAGGGAAGCATGGTCCAGGGTTACTCTGCTGAGGAGGTGGTTGATTGGTGCCTTGGTTACATTGATCCTACAAATCCAATCGGCTTATATAAGTCTCCCCATGAGGGAAGGCTAGCGGGGATAGGGACTCTTGGGAAGAAGACACTTAATCCAGATCCAGATGATTACCAGCGGGCTCACTTTCTCATGTTGGTACACACACTAGAAGTGTCTCCTTATATCGAGGAGCATAAGGAGCAGTTGCGTCAAGAGAATCCAGGTCGGAGCGAAGCATGGATAGGGAGGGCACATATGAAGGGATTCAACATTTGGTTCAAAAAGCGGATCCTCAGTTTTGAGCTCTTGCACAGATGAAGGGCTTCGGAACCTAGCAGAAGGCCCTTTGTTCACAATCACAAGTTATCAGGGATATGGCATAAATGGATACACATTTTACACCTTGGCTCAAGACCAGAAAAGTGTGTACCAAAATAGTGGTGTTTGTGTAGTTGCTTTGGACAACACTGACGTACAGAAGGATGCATACTATGGTCAGATAGAGGAGATCTGGGAGCTAACTTATCCTAGGGTCAAGGAGCCCTTCAAGGTGACTATTTTTCGGTGCCGTTGGGTTAAGGGCACAAGGGGCATCAACAAGGACAGATATGGATTCACTACCATTGATTTTGAACAGGTTGGGTACAAGGATGAACCATTCGTACTTGCAGCTCAGGTTTCACAAGTCTTTTATGTGCTCGACACGCAAAACAAGAAACGCCTTGTAGTTCTCCCCGGTAAAAAATGGGTTGTCGGAGTTGAAGATGCTGTGGAGGAGGAAGAGTACAATCAATTTGATGAAGTCCCTCCTTTTGGTGATTGGACCCTCCCTATGATTCTCGAGAGTGAGGAAACTTCATACTTACGACATGGTCATGTAGAAGAGGCCACCGTTGCAAAAGGCCACCGAAACCGGCAAGTACGCAAGAGAAAGTAATGCTTATCTGTTGAAGGTGCTTGATTGTACTGGCATGCTTGCACTGCTGTAGGTGCTTTGCAAATGCTGAGGAAACTCCATACTTGCAAATGGCTATTTGTGGTGCTTTGCATATCGAGGTTCAGTGCTCTCCTTTTAGTAGAGCAGAGGTAGAAACACTGTTCTTTTTTACATCTAAGCATAATGTTTGCAATATTATTCATAAATATTTATTGGTGTAATTAGCAGGTATGTAAGATCCTTCAGTATATTGAGGCTTACCAGGAAGAACACAAGCTTGGTCCAATGCCAATCATCCTTTGTGGGTTTACAGAGGCGTCCTCAAGGATGGCCAGGTGCTTGCTTGCTTGCTTTTCACCAATCGTTCTATTTTGTTTGGGCCAGAAACCAGCAGGCCCAAATTCAGTCCCCAAGTCCCCGCAGCCCCGCAGTCCCTCCCTCCCGTTTCCCGCAGCCCTGCATCTCTCCCGTGCGCCACCGCATCCGCAGCCCCGCATCTCTCCCGTGCGTCGCCGCATCTCTCGGTGCGCCTCTCCCGTGTGCCACCGCCTCTCCCATTCGCGAGCAAGACGCAAGAGGACGCGCAGGGCAGCCGCAGCGGCTTTGCCGGCGGCGGGAAGAGTTGGGGCCCCGAGCTAGAGATCCACCGGTCACCACCCCCGTCGCCCCGGCCTCCTCCTCGGTCATTTCAAGTTCCACATCAAAATGGTAAGCTATCACCACCCACGGTCATTTCAAGTGTTTAGCATATTTCTAGCATCTAAATTTGGTCTTCTGCAATTTGCTAAACCACATCTTTCTCGAATTTGATTGATAGGTGTCTTCCACGGATTCTTCATCAAGTGGTGACGACGAAGCGGGGACACAAACTGTTTCTGAGGAAGTAGAATCACCCGTTGATGATGAGCAGCAGCAGTCTGTGCCTGAGCCTATGCGCCGACCCCGAAAACCAAAGACAACATCTAAGTGGCCTACTGACATGATCGAGGTCACAGAGATACATCCAGATGGGAAGCCAATTGAGGTGAAACAACAACGAAGATTGCGATTGCTTGCTCGTTTGATTGCTAGACAACAGCTATCCTTAGTTATGCCATCATTCAAAAACCTTACTAATGAGAGGAAATGGGAATTGTTTAATAAACATGTCATGCCCTACTTGAAGTTCCCAGATACAATGAAGACTGAGGGGCTTAAGTATATAATGGAGGTGATATATAAGAGTTGGAGAACCCACAAAAACAGGCTAGTGACCGATTTTATCGAGAAAAACCTCAGTCCCTTTCAGAAGCACCCCTACATTCAACCTGAAGATTGGGCAGAATTTGAGGTATTGAAGAAGTCCCCAGAAGAAATAGCGAAAAGTGAGAAATACAAAATGCTTCGGCAACAAAATGTGCACAACCATTGTCTGGGCTCTGCAGGGTATGATGGGAAAGAGAAAAAGTGGGAGGTGGAGGATGCAGAGTTAGTCAAGAAAGGCATCCCTAACCCATGGGATGACTACCCTGAAGGCTGCCCTGTGAGGTTTCTGCGAGCAAGGAGTAAGCTTGAGGTATCAGAAGATAAAGCTGAGATCATCTGGAAACAGGATTCAACACAAAAAATCTCTGAAGACATTAAAGAGAAGCAATCAGCCGCAGAATCTTTAGGCGTCACTTGGGTCAGGGAGAATGATGTGCTAACTGCATGTTTGGGCCCTAAACAGCCAGGCCGCGTGCGCACTATTTCAAGTTACACTGGCTGGAAGCATGGTTGGCCTGGGTGTTCTGGCATGTACAGAAAAAGAAAGAGGTCTGGTGCAGTAGATGTGGATGTGGAAGCGATAGCAGCTCAAGTTAGACAAGAAGTTACAGCTCAAGTCACACAAGAAGTGTCGCTAAGGTCACGAAAGAGGTTACCAGCAAGGTCACACAGGATGTCATGTCCTATCTTGCAGACCAAGGCTTGTTGGTAAGACCACCACCTTCTAGGACCCCTAGTCCTGCCTGCGGACGAAGGAGCAGTTGTGCCTCTGCCTCCAACACTGTTCCAAACGACTTGGAGTTGGGGCCTAGTTCAGTTTCTCCAGATACTATTGATCTTCTTGAAGAGCCAACCCAATGTTCCTTGGTAGTGAACCTTGGAAACTATTGACCTATGGTTGCAGAGGGTCGGGTGTTCCCAAAGGAGTTTGTGCTAGAATCAGTCCAAATAGATTATGATTATGCAATAGTCCAAGTGGAATGTGTACATCAGGGTTATGAGGATTATGTGCTGCAGCCGCCCCCTAATGATGATATCAAAACACTTAGAGAAGCTCTACTACAGAGGATACAGTGGAGAAGGGATTGGATTATAGTGAAACAAACACATGAGACCCAGCCAACCCAATCTCAACCAGATGAGACCACAAAGAGAGCCAAGAGTGTTTCGAAGGGCACTAATGCTATTATTTCTACAAAGCTACTTTGTGGAGCCAATTCAACTCCTTCAAATCATCAATCTCCGGCCACATCTGATGCAACAAAGAGTGTGCCAAAGGAGCATAATACAGCCAACCCTTCAAAAAATCCAAACAACTCAGAGAAGGAGTGCACTAAGCTGCCCACGCAGCCAAAAGTGGGAACTGAGGCTGTTGGAAGCGGTGCAAGGCCACCCAAGCAACCCAAAGGGGCTAGTAAGGCTGCTGGAGAGAGTGAAAAGGCAGCCATAAATAAAAAGTTGGCTAGTAAGGCTGTTGGACAGAGTCTAAAACAACCGCAGCAACAAAAATGGATTGATAAGTACAAATGTGGCCACCCATTTCTCCCAGCAATGGACCTCAAGGCGGTAGGACCTGGATGTACTGCTCTTCATGCTCATTACATGAAAGATTGCGTCAACAATAAGCATGGGATAGTGGTTTGGTTCAGGGGTATTTATATGCTGAACTCATCAAATTTCGAAGTCGGGCTTGTGAGATACAATTTTCTGTATGACCTCTTCCAATTTGGGGCATTGGATGCCTCTCTTCTTCAATGCTGGATATTGTAAGTACCTCCAAACAAATCTGTGTTCTTTACTTTTGTTACCCCATGGTAGAAGAACAGAAATAAGGTCATAGCTGATAGTAGTTCTCCTTACATTTAAAGTAACCATCTAATAAATAAATCATCCACCTATGTCATTATGAAAACTATCTATATCATCCCTACATTTGTATCTAGCCATCTCCATATAGAGTATTTGGTAATTAAAATTTATAACAATCAGGCAAAGATAGAAGATATATATATATATATATATATATAATGTACTATGAGCAGAACATTTTCTATTAGTTATGTGCCCCTAACTTTATCCATGAATTGCTCTCAAGAAATTACTAGGCTGCACAAGAGCTCAGATTGGTGGAATTTGATTCCACCGTGTTTGGATCATATTTTGTCTAAAGAGGTACTCCATATTCTCAAAAGAAATAACCGAATAAGTGAGAAAAGAGAGGATGTGAAATTTAGTTTCAGGGCTTTTTTGGTACATATGTAAGGGCATAGTATTTGAGCTGTAGCTTTTGAACATGTCAGCTTTTCTGTTCCGGTGGTATATCTCCCTGCTGCTGCTGCACGCTGCACGCCATCCAGGCATAGATTGGGCTTGGGCATGATAGGTTTGTTTTCTCACCCATTGTAGTATTTCTAAGGTTGAGTGTGAGCATGCCAAAAGTTTCAAGTTTTTCCATGTGTTGTATGACCAGAGATCCTACATAACTGATAAACATGAATAAAAGATATGCTCTTTCAACTCAACCTTTGCGTTGCTCTGTTAACTTCATGTTGAATTTGGTTTGGTTGACTGACTGTATTTTGATTATTGTCTGAGTGACCACCTGACATCAGTTTTTTGCCGAATTTTGTTCCACACTATTAATCTCCAATTAACAGCTAAACTGGTTGGCTTCAGCGTAGACAAACCAATTACCTTTAACACATAGTAGTTCGGGGACAATTGGTAGTGGCGGAGTTAAAGTAGATTGTTTGTAGGTGGGTTTAACTGTTCTGGCAAACAAAATAACTGTGTTGGCCGGCAGCTTTTATCTGGTTACTGATACTATTACTTTGGTCCTTTGCAGAACCTACTAGGTCTTGTTTATACAGTTCTATTCTGATAGCTGCTATTGTGCCTTTGTTTATTGCTAGTTGCTATTTTTGCAGAACCGCTTTTGAACATGTCAGCTTTTGAACATGTCAACTTTTGAACATGTTTAGAGTGCTTCTAGAATAAAACTGAACATAAACATCAATTTTGTGCTTGGTTTACCTTGCATGAGTTGAGGTACAGAGTACAGACGTTAAACTTCAATTTTCATGCTCTGCATCATGTGTATTCTAGCTGACCCAGATAAAATGCAATTAAGCTGGTTGAAGTAGCTGACCCAGATACATATGCTTGCAGTTCATCGGCTGTTCTGTACTCATTTTCTCTAGGCATATCCCTTTTGGTTTATGTACTCATGTTGTCTACATGTTCTTTCTTATTTTTAGATCACTGGTTGTGGAAGCTAAGGCTAAGGACATTCATGTGGGCTTTCTAGATCCACAAGTGATGTCACTGGACAACATAACATTTGATAGAGACAAAGTTCTGCAGTATGTACAAAAGGCCTTCACCAAGTATACCAAGAATGACTACATAATGTTTGCCTACAACTCTGGCGGCTTAGCTGGTGATCATTGGATCGTCGTGGTAATAATTCAAAAGTGGAATAAGGTCATATACCTTGATTCCAACAGATCTGAAAACCATGATTTCAGCGTGCTAAAACTGTTGATTGACGAGTGAGTTGTTTGCTTACCTACTATTGACTTGTTTCATAAGTGCCAATATCATTGAACCAACATAATGAGCCATATATATGTGTGTGTTGTACTCTTACATGTAGGGCTTTTGCAAGACACACAAACAAGCTGAAAGACAGACCATAGCCATTGAAACACGCTTTTAAATATGCGGTAAGTGCTTCCAAAAATAAAAGTCAATATTGTGCCTCTAGTATATTAAGTACTGTGTTCAACTTCCATTTTCAAATTATTGTGTTCTATATATATTTGTCGCAGTGCCTTCAACAATCTTCTGCTAAGTCATCTGGCTGGTATGCTGCACACCACTTGTTTTTAGCTATGAGAAAGACAAACTTGGAATACTCTGAGGTATTCATATCTAAACTTTGGATGTGCAAATATAATGGCCCATGGTTGTTTGAGTGTGTGTGACTGTGTCATGTCCTAGTATAGTTTTTAGCCCATGGTACTTGTTCTGCTACCTGTCTTTTTCTATCTCAAGAGAAGAGAAAAGGTGGAGGCTTTATTTGTATTGCTACCTGTCTTTTCGTTTTGGGGAGTGATCTGATGAGGGTGGAGGAGCAGGTGCCAGCTCTGTGCTTTTGCAGCTGAACCTCCTTATGCTCCAGGTAGTTTAGTGATTGGATTAGGAGCATGCAGCTAGCTAACAGATTATTTTCTCTGATTGTTTATTTGTTTCCTAGCACTCGGATATAGTGTGGCCATTGTCGCAGTGGCCAGTTTGTGTTTCAATTTGAGTATCATTATTCGGTAATAGTGGCACTAGCCGATTGCTCATAGTCTTGATGAAAAAGTTTGTGTGGCCTCAGCATTCTGTCTTCAAATCAGTCTCAAGGAAACAGTCCTGTGTGTCCAGAAAAAAGTCTCAAGTAACAGTTGTATTTCAAACCTTAATGCGATTTCACTACATTTGTAGGCTATTCCCTTGATGTAGAAGAAAACTCTGCAGTTTCTTTTCAGTGGAAACATGCACAGTACTACTTTAGTCATAAGCTCGAATGCTCGATGCTTTACGCTGCCTATATATTTTACTCAGTGATAGACATAGGCACATCACCATCTGCTTGCTAATGAATTTCCACATCTGCGGATGTTCCTACGTCCCTTGATTGTTTGCATCAAGCTTAGCAACTGTGATTTTTTACATTGATTGTCTATATTGTCCTGTACCATGTTTTCTTTTTTACCAAAGTTCTATCTTGACACAGGAATTTGAAGTGTTGATGACGCCCATCGATATGCTCATGATTAGAGAAAAGCTAGCCAGGTTCTTAGTGGAACAAGTCATCGAGAAGAAAGGAGAGTTCCATCATGACCAGTGATGTGTGTTTGCCATTATCAGTGTGAGTCCAGTGATGTAGTGTGTGACTAAATAAATTAAGCCCAATGTTTAGATGGATTTCGAACAAGTTGTGATGGATTTTGAACAAGTTGTGAACATTTGATATAAATGTGAATCTATTGAACTTGATGTCTATCTCGTGTGAACATGTTATATATATATATATATATATATATATATATATATATATATATATATATATATATATATATATATATATATTTCTTCTGTGAACGATGTGGGGTTCTGATGAGCAATGTGTACATTTGTTATATGCTATCAGTGACACATTAGACAGACATGAGTCACTGATATCAAATTATCAGTGACGCAAATCAGTGACGCATATTCTTAGTATGTGTCACTCATATATCCTTATTCGTGACGTGTGTTACCACAACGTGTCGCTGATCTAGACTTATTAGTGACGCGGGTTCCCACAGCGTGTCGCTGATATGGATTCATCAGTGACGCGTGTTCCCATTTTCAGTGACGCGTATTCTGAATAAGCGTCACTCTATTTCCTTATCAGTGACGCGTCTTACAGTTATCGGTGACGCATGTTCGCGTTATCAGTGACTCGTGTTCTAAATATGCGTCACGGATAGTTTCCGATCAGGGACGCGTTTTTACGCATCACTAATGTGCCCTTATCACAGACGCAAGAATAGTGACGCGTGTTTTACGCGTCACTGATGACCCTCTACACGCGTCACTGATAAGGTTTTCTGGCATAGTGTGCGGCCATGTGTGATGGACTGCTAGCTGGCGCTTACACATATATACGTGTGCAGCTCCTGAGCAATGCCAGGTTCAAGAACGCGGATCACCGGCGGTGGTGAACTCCAGAGTGCAGCCGCCTGTCCATCGCCACGTCCCAGAACCCGGCGCCCGACGCGACAGTGTACCCGATGGCCGTGCGGGACGGGGAGGCGCCCATACTGGACCAGTCCATCACCTTCGCCGAGATGTACCGCCGCAAGATGGCGCGCGACATTGAGCTTGCCAAGCTCAAGAAGCAGGCCAAGGCCGAGAAGCGGCTGCAGAAGAGTGCCAAGGAGTTCGCCGTGCCGAATGCCAACAAGTTCACCGTGCCGACTGCCAAGGAATTCGCCGTGCCGAACGCCAACAAGCCTCTCGACGACATTCTTGCCTGATAAGGCGACTGCTCCATTGATCCACGGTTTATATCGTCGCGTGTGAATCATTTATAATAAAGAACATAGCTATATACGAGCGTGCGGCAATTAAGTTAAGCGCTATGAAATAAGGCAGCGCTGCTCCTGCTAGTGTGCCTGTGACGACTACGCTTTTCTTTCTCTCTTTCTCTGGAATGTATTTCTCGGATCTGCAGTTCCACATACATGGGCGGTTGACCCATGTAAAATCTTTGTTTATTGTAATACACAGAGAGCTATATATACGAGATTTGCTAAAATTCAAGTGCCTAAATTTCAGTTTCATTTTAAGCGACGGTTATTGTATATATTTTATATTAAAATTGTTGTTTTAGTTCGTTGCAATTTTATAGGCACAATCTGTAATTTTCGGTTCTGAAAATAAAAAAGCTCGTTAGACAAAACCACAAACTCGACAAAATGCAATCATGTGTTCGCACAAAGTCATTTTAACAATTTACAATTGTTTCTATAATCAAACAAGGACAAAATTTTATATGTTATGACATAAAGATAAAGAACAAATCACAAAAGCAATAATTTACTTATACTAGTTATAGTACAAAAGTATTCTCTAAAATTATCTTAAGATTCAGACATCTGAAATATAGAAAAAGTGACTATATATGCCTATGTTTGTATTAAGATAGGGGAAAGAAAAAGGCCTTCCACACCGCGCGCCGTGGCATGGCACTCAGTATGCATGAAATCTGACATGATCGGAAAAAAAAGTCAGTTACGTTTGCCATTGCTCAAAGTGCCTAGCACAGGAGAAGGTTGACCAAATGCTAAGGGCTAAAGGCCGGCCTGTTCCTTATGACCCATCAATCAAAATCAAAATATAATAATGTTATAAGCCGTCGCGCTTAACAATTCTGCCGGCACATACTGCTTTATTTGTTTATACAAACCAGCTAGGCAAGCAGCCCAATAGGAATGGCTAGCTGGCTAGAGGACCCACAAGCATGGTGGTGATGATGTATCAAGTATTCAAGTAGTACTACGACCATTTGGATTAGAGAAAGGAAGGGGAAGCAAAGCATGCGTATATATGGCCGAGCTGACAACCGCGCAATCGCCACTTGCCGGCGGCGGAGGCGGATGAATGCGCGCGCCCAGCTGCCGGGCCACCACGGCCGGACACACAGAGGCTTCCGCCTTCCGCACTCGGCTCTCGCCAACGCAAGTGTCGGCCCTAGACCGATGGACAGGCCCAGGCGCCATAGGAGGGAGGTCTCAGGACGTCGGACAAAGTCCAAGTGGAGGCTTTGTCCGCGCGAGGGCGTAACAGCGGCCAACGAGGGCTGACGGTGGAAGAGGTGCCCAGGAGACGTGGGCTCGGCTGCAGGTCCCAACCCAGCTCTGTGCGGCCTCCGGGAAAGTCATGATCTGCACAGTTTTGGGCTTCTGCACGGGCATGGCACATCTTGTGTTTCCACGGGGGCACGGAGAACCTGCCGCACACGGAGACAGCGTGTCAAGGACAAGGAATCACGCATTTTTTTAAATAATATTTTTAATGAGTAATTGCAAATCTAGAAGCTGCTACACAAAAATTTGAAATCTAGCAGCCTGTCGGCTACTCACTAGCCGATAGGCCTACGTGCGGGGACCTGTCGGCAGCTGGAGGGCCGACAGGTACCACTCACCAGCCAGGGACCCTGTCGGCAGCTGGAGGGCCTACAGGTACGGTCGGCTGCCCAGTTACCTGTCGGCAGCTGGCCCACGCTATTTAGCCGGACCTGGATCACCGTGCAGCCCGTCGAGGGCGCCTTCGTCGTCAACCTCGGCGACCACGGCCACGTGAGTAGTCTCCGTTCGTTCGTTCGTCCGTTTGCGGCCATGTGTGATGGACTGCTAGCTGGCGCTTACACATATATACGACGAACGTGTGCAGCTCCTGAGCAATGGCAGGTTCAAGAACGCGGATCACCGGCGGTGGTGAACTCAGAGTGCAGCCGCCTGTCCATCGCCACGTCCCAGAACCCGGCGCCCGACGCGACAGTGTACCCGATGGCCGTGCGGGACGGGGAGGCGCCCATACTGGACCAGTCCATCACCTTCGCCGAGATGTACCGCCGCAAGATGGCGCGCGACATTGAGCTTGCCAAGCTCAAGAAGCAGGCCAAGGCCGAGAAGCGGCTGCAGAAGAGTGCCAAGGAGTTCGCCGCGCTGAATGCCAACAAGTTCACCGTGCCGACTGCCAAGGAATTCGCCGTGCCCAACGCCAACAAGCCTCTCGACGACATTCTTGCCTGATAAGGCGACTGCTCCATTGATCCACGGTTTATATCGTCGCGTGTGAATCATTTATAATAAAGAACATAGCTATATACGAGCGTGCGGCAATTAAGTTAAGCGCTATGAAATAAGGCAGCGCTGCTCCTGCTAGTGTGCCTGTGACGACTACGCTTTTCTTTCTCTCTTTCTCTGGAATGTATTTCTCGGATCTGCAGTTCCACATACATGGGCGGATGACCCATGTAAAATCTTCGTTTATTGTAATACACAAAGAGCTATATATATGAGATTTGCTAAAATTCAAGTGCCTAAATTTTAATTTCATTTTAAGCGACGGTTATTGTATATATTTTATATTAAAATTGTTGTTTGAGTTCGTTGCAATTTTATAGGCACAATCTGTAATTTTCGGTTCTGAAAATAAAAAAAAACTCGTTAGACAAAACCACAAACTCGACAAAATGCAGTTATGTGTTCGCACAAAGTCATTTTAACAATTTACAATTGTTTCTATAATCTAACAAGGACAAAATTTTATATGCTATGACATAAAGATAAAGAACAAATCACAAAAGCAATAATTTACTTATACTAGTTATAGTATAAAAGTATTGTCTAAAATTATCTTAAGATTCAGACATATGGAATATAGAAAAAGTGACTATATATGCCTATGTTTGTATTAAGATAGGGGAAAGAAAAAGGCCTTCCACACCGCGCGCCGTGGCATGGCACTCAGTATGCATGAAATCTGACATGATCCCTAGCAGTAGTAGAGTAATATCATACACAGTGTTTATTATTTGAAAGATAAGCAAGAACACACGATACAGCTGATGGCTGCTGCTGGGTAAAGATTTCGCAATGAAGTCCTTGCGCCGAATGAAGTAGGTGTAGGTAGTTGCGTAGAAGCATGTACGTACTCGCATGATGAGCAGCGGTGAATCTAGGATTTTGTTTATGGGTACGCCGCCTAAAAATTTTCATATATAATTCGGTAAATTTATTTTAGCAATTCGGTAATAATTGTAAAATTGGCAACGTGATTTGGTATATATGCACTATGTAACACAATAAGGCTTAAATTCAAGGATTAAGTTTAAACCATCTACTAAATATAGTATAAATAGTTTAAAAGTCATACCGATAGTTGAAATATAGCATAAAAGAGAATCAGAGACTTACAATGCTATTTTTCTAACTATTTTATTCGACGCTTTTGAATAGACATAAATGTCTTGATTATATCATCTTCATCAACTTCAAAGAAAATAACCCGCTCAATGAAAATAACTACACAATCATCCAAAAGACTATCTCTCATCTTATTTCTTAACTTTGTTTTCACTAAAACCATTGCAGAAAATACCCTTTCAACACTTGCCGTTGCCTCAGGTGGAGGCAAATACCAATTTGAGGAGCTCATAAACTATATCATACACTTTGTGCCTCTTTGTTTTAACTAGCTTAACTGAGAGATCAACAATATTGTCCAGACCACTGAAGCTATCATCTTGTCTCATGTCATCAATATAATTATGTAGCTGCAATTTAAGTTTCAGCAAATTATTATTTGAGAACTCCTTTGGGTAGAACTTAGCCAGTCTACATAGCTTGTGTGCATCAAAAGAAGCAAATGAATTGGAAGGACCGAAGGCTGACATACAAGACAACGACTCCATATTAATCTCGTCAAACCGATTATCAAGTTCTTGACTTATTTGATCAATAACACCAATATATACTTCTCTTCTGAAGTGGTCATCGTTGGTTTGCTTTCGGGCACGAGCTTTCCTTGATGATTTTCCATAAGGAACATGATCGTCATCCATAGCAGGACCTTTAACATCATGTTTATCGCAGAATGAAGTGACCCTCTCAAGGGTTATTCCAACGAGTAACTGCAGCTATTCAGTGGAAGTATGGCGCTGGCCACTCGCTGGGTAGCGAATTGGACAGGGTAACGTACAAAACCTTGTTTGAACAAGACCTGAGGGCTGAGGGAACGTCGTTCCACGAACATCCATGTCATGAGACTTGGAACCGAGAAAATAGAAACTTTGAAAGGGAAGAAACAGAAATAGGCCTGGGCGTTCGGGTTATCCGAATTTTTGGGACCTGGACGCCAACGGCGAAATTTGTGAATCAAAATCAACAAGATATCAGGATGCTGCAATAACTGTAACTAGGAAACGGAGATTTCCAAGAACACGGGTAGGTAACAAGCAAGCTCGTCCTAGGCCTTGTGTTGACTCTGGAACACGCCGTCACAAGAGTACACCCACAAGTCAGTTACGTTTTCTTTCCACAAAAAAAAGTCAGTTACGTTTGCCATTGCTCAAAGTGCCTAGTACAGGAGAAGGTTGACCAAATGCTAAAGGCTAAAGGCCGGCCTGTTCCTTATGACCGATCAATCAAATTCAAAATATAATAATGTTATAAGCCGTCGCGCTTAACAATTCTACCGGCACATACTGCTTTATTTGTTTAGACAAACCAGCTAGGCAAGCAGCCCAATAGGAATGGCTAGCTGGCTAGAGCACCCACAAGCATGGTGGTGATGATATATCAAGTATTCAAGTAGTATTACAACCATTTGGATTAGAGAAAGGAAGGGGAAGCAAAGCATGCATATATATGGCCGAGCTGACAACCGCGCAATCGCCACTTGCCAGCGGCGGAGGCGGATGAATGCGCGCGCCCAGCTGCCGGGCCACCACAGCCGGACACAGCTCTCGCCAACGCACAGAGGCTTCCGCCTTCCGCACTCGGCTCTCGCCAACGCAAGTGTCGTCCCTGGACCGATCGACTGGCCCAGGCGCTATAGGAGGGAGGTCTCAGGACGTCAGACAAAGTCCAAGTGGAGGCTTTGTCTACGCGAGGGCGTAATAGTGACCAATGAGGGCTGACGGTGGAAGAGGTGTGGAGGAGACGTGGGCCTGGCTGCATGTCCCAACCCAGCTTTGTGCTGGCTCCGGGAAAGTGATGATCTGCACAGTTTTGGGCTTCTGCACGGGCATGGCACATGTTGTGTTTCCACGGGGGCACGGAGAACCTGCCGCACACGGAGACAGCGTGTCAAGGACAAGGAATCACACATTTTTTAAATAATATTTTTAATGATTAATTGCAAATCTAGAAGCTGTTATATAAAAAATATGACATCTAGCAGCCTGTCGGCTACTCACATGTGGCAGCCGACACTAGCCAAAATAGCCTGTTGGCAACGACAGGACCCTGTCGGCAGCAGGAGGGCCGGCAGGGAAAGTCGGCTGTCCAATTACCGATACCTCTATTTCATGATGTATTCCTTCTTTTCTAGACACAACCATCACCCGATATGATACTTTATTGACGAACACAACCATATTTGGCTAGAATACTCGATGCAAGGGCTAAACAATACCATTTTACATTATAATTGTCCTTTTCCACGATGCAGGCGCGGGACTGTATTGGTGCGTTGACTCCATTGCAAAGGTGCGTACATTAATTCATTAGTTAGCATCACAAATCCAAGAGTACATTAGTCCGCATGCATACAGCCATGCTAGCATACAACCATAGTCCTACACGCTTAACCTACACGACAACCACACTTACGTGCCGGAGCACCTCGGTGACGAACCTGGGCCGTAGGGTAAGTCCACTAGTCTAAAGGACGTCGTTGTCGTGCAGGTGGGGTTGACTCCATATGCTTAGTACCCTGAGTCGGTAGAGGTGCACCAGAAAGCTGGGAGGGCCTCTACCAGCACAGGGAAGCAACGAACGTGTGTGGCTGCATGGAACTAACCCTAATCTACAACTAACTCTACCCTACAAGAAAAATTATTAACTAAACTAACTAACCCTAGACAGAAAAAAAAACTTGTAACTAACCCTAAAACTAAAAGTACTTCTAAAACTAAATCTAGCTAATAAACTAAACTAACAAAATCTAACTAAACTAAAAAACCAAACTAACAAAACCTAACTAAACTAATAAACTAAACTAACTAAAAAAAGAAAAAACGTACCTGAGAACTCCAGGCCGGCGGCAGCGCTGTGGGAGGCGGCGGCCCGCGCGGGCCAGGGGGGCGGAGGCAGCGGCAAGCCCTCTGCCGGATCCGGCGGCCGGCGGCGATCTAAAGCCTCCCACATGGTGGAGGAGAAGCGGCGGCCGACGACGCACTGGTGCGGAGCGAGAGAGAAAGAGCGAGCAAGAGAGAGTGCAAGGGAGAAGATGACCGGTTAGATATTTTAGGGCCTGTCGGCTAACCGGGTGTCGACATGCCTGTCGGGCCGATATAGGTCCACTGGGCTGTCCTGTCTGGCTTGGTCAGGTACTTAGTCGGCAGCTGGCTCACCGACAGGGACCTATCGGCCCATCAATTGCCGATAGGGTCCCAATTGGCTAGCCAAAAGTCGACATTACGCTATATTTACAATTCTTACCATCCAAATGCTAGATTTGCAATTAATTATTAATAAATATTATTTAACTAAAATTCAAGGAATCACCGGATTTGGAATGACGACTATGCATTTCCTTCTTTCTCTTTCTTTTTTTGGAATTAGGGAGACTCCCCATTTCCATTGCATTAAAACAGAAATACAACAGAGTTTGAAGATTGTTCAGAATAAACAGAGCAGCATAAAGAGGTTCAGGAAAAGGAAAGAAAGGGAGTTTTATGTGGCAGAACCGCCTGAAATAGCACGCTTTCAGAGGCGCTCGTCTTCCACTAGATACTAAGCACCCTGAAAGTTAGTTAGATCGGACGAATCAATCCACATTTTACCTCCAGAATCCGATAATGAATACGCGCTTACAATACTTAGTCCATTTCATTCAACAAGAGTTCTTAGAAATTGTTTATTACAATCCTAGAGTTTAGAGTGCGATAATGAAACAGCGGAATAAAAATAAACATCTAGCAGAAATGATACAAGGATCCGTTTATGCCCACCAGAAGAATCATCCACATAAGAGCTACTCCTCAAGCTGCACCAGCAACAGGGGTAAAATGAACCCTGAGTAC